TGTGCCCATGTGGGAGGTGAGAAGTGTTGAAGGCAGTCAGGCCAAGAAAGCAAAAGGAGGACACAAAGCGCAGAGAGAAACAAACTCAGCAGGTAAGGTGGAGAAAAGCAAAGACAAGCTCTTCAGTTGCTAATTGCTGGGCCATTAAAGCACCAAGCACAGCTTTGGAGAGGGTCAGAGCAGTCTTTGCAGGAGGCAAGGGGTGGGCGTGAGATTTGGGAAGCCGAGGGATTCATGGGCTGTGCAAAATGGAGCAAGGAGAAACCAATCAGATCCGGGAGAATTCTCTGAGAATATTCAATCCTGAAATATTTCCTAGCGTGTTCCCTCCTCCACTGAAAGCACTATGACCACCACACATATGACCTGGGCTCTTATCCAGAGCCCTGTCAATACAGCTCTTCAGTGGAGTCTGGTTTACGTCCATTCAGCGGAACAGGCAAAAATGACATTGTGTGTGTGCTGGGAGCCTTTATAGATCAGTCATTCCCCCATAAGCTCTCTGACCACATTGCTCTGCATTTGGAGAAGAGAAGGCTGCAGGGAGACCTGATGGTGGCCTTCAGGGCTTGGAGGGAGCGGATAAACAGGAGGGGAACGGCTGTGTGTGAGGGTGGGTGGTGACAGGACAAGGGGAATGGCTTGAAAGTGAGACAGGGGAGGTTTGGGTTGGGTGTGAGGAGGAAGTTTTGGAGGCAGAGGGTGGTGAGGCACTGGCACAGGTTGCCCAAGGAGGCTGTGGATGCCCCATCCCTGCAGGCATTCAAGGCCAGGCTGGATGTGGCTCTGGGCAGCCTGGGCTGCTGGTTGGCGACCTGCACACAGCAGGGCTTGGAGCTGGATGAGCGCTGTGCTCCTGTGCAGACCAGGCCTTTCTATCATTCCATGAATATAAAGAACTTCTTTTTTTTTTTGTTCCCAAACTTTACCAATAGAATAAATAAGCAAGAAAACTGCTAAAAATCATGCCAAAGTCACCACATTTGCAGAGATCCCTAGCATGAAAGAAAAAGAAACACGAATGTATGAGCTTATTCAAACTAGCAGTGACATACATAAAGGCAAAGCAATGCACATAAAGCAGAAAGGAATGGGAAGGAAGTATTTAGTTAGAGACAGATCAGTGTAAGAGTCGCTGTGTTACTGAAATACTGAGGGGCATATTGGATGGTGAATCATATGAACACACGTAACACTTTAAAATAGTCTGTCATCAACAACAAAGAAAGAAATCACGTCAGAGCAGGAGGAAATAAAAGCAAAGGCAACAGATGGCTCTAGGTACAAGGGTGTGGGGTGGGGGGGATGTGAGGGCAGCGCCTGGAGCACAGGCAAAGCCCTGGGCAGGAGCAGGAGAGAGATGAAGATGGAAAGCAGAGTGTAAGTAACCCCGGTATCAGAAGGGTGGGAAGCATAAAAGGAAGAGGAAACAGAAACCTTCTGGGGTAGCATTTATTGTCTGAAAAAATACTGAAACAGATGATCCAAATACTTACGGTGCACAGGGAACGCACCAAGGAAATAAGCAGCAGTGGCCACGAAGGTCTCAGGAATGAATGGTGACAAAGCAACCTGGTTTGTACTTCAGAGCGGGCAGCACGCCTTGCTGGGGAGGAGGAAGCTGGAAATTAAATCTGCCTCGACTTTAATTGTGCTTTTGACTCATTTCACACGACACATTCAGCAACAAGAAATGGAAGAATCATGACAGAATGGCCTGGGCTGCAGAGGAGCACAGCGCTCATCCAGCTCCAAGCCCTGCTGTGTGCAGGTCGCCAAGCAGCAGCCCAGGCTGCCCAGAGCCACATCCAGCCTGGCCTTGAATGCCTGCAGGGATGTGGCATCCACAGCCTCCTTGGGCAAACCCTACCATCATTCCATATTTCCATAGGCAAAGTGCAGTGCAGACTGGATTTCTCAGGTGCTAAAAATAAAGGTATGACCGTATGCTGTTCTGGAACGCCCTGGGTTTAAGCCAGGCACTCAGTCTGCACGGCTGGGCTCTGAGCAGCATGGTGACAGGGAGCAGAAATGCTCGTGCTGAGCCCCTCCTCACTGCCTGGGGCACACGTGGGACCCCACGCAGCTGGTGTTTCCCTTCTGATCCCTCTCTGCCTGGAGCCCTGAGCACCCTTAGAAGCCGTGTTCCCTGCGAGCGGTCGCAGGCTGTTCTTTATTTCATAGAAAGAAGGCATTTCTGCAAGCTCGTCTTCCAGCTACATCCTTTAGGCTAATAAAAGGAATCGTGCTTCTCCTGAACTGAGAGGCAGGCCAGGCAGGCAGCCCTGCTGAAAACACATCGTTCAGAAAATGCGTCACCAGTGGCTGTTGGCGGCTGGAGGCACCGAGGGGCCGGCGTTGCAGCCATTACATTTCCAGAGAACACAGCTCCTTTTTTCTAACATTTCATACCCTGCTTCCCCATGGCAAACCCGCGTCCTTCTGCTGAGCAGAGATGGAATAATGAGCGATGTGGAAGCTATCTTTGGCTAATGGGTGAATGACCTCGATCCGATGGCTGCCGGGTCAGGGCACTGCGGGGGTCAGGAATAAACGCCTGCGGGGCCCCATAAGGGTTCACTTCTCAGAACCAGGGGTAATTAGGAGATAACCTGTGCAATAGAAGCGCTGACTATTCAGACGTGGATCGTCCTTCGACTGCGTGTTGCGCCTGAAAGGAGAGGGAAAAGCATCTAAGCACTGAAATTGACCAAGCTCTGGTATTCTGCACTCCAGGAAATCACAGGATGGCCTGGTTGAAAAGGGCCATCACCACCACTGCAGCCTTCAGGACCGCAGCTTCCTGAGAAATCCTCTCCTGGATATTTTCCTCATGAGATATTGCACTCAGTTTTTTTTTCAGCTCACCTTCAACTGCATAAAAACAGACAAACGAACAAGAAAACAATAAAAACCGCTCCAAAGAAACCTTATTTTGGAAGTTATAGTTGTACACAGTAGAACTGCTTCTGTCTTTGAAACGATTATCACCAATTCCACGTGAAATTTAATATTCCTTGACATGCCTGCCCTGTCCAAAGCCTTTATTGATGACCTGGGTGAAGGCATTGAGTGCACCCACAGATGATACCAAGTTGGCAGGCAAAGTGTCCCTGTTTGGTACCACGACTCGCGGTGCCTGTGACGGGGCACGGGGCTGTGCACAGCACCCTCTGCACTGCCCACCTCCAGTCCCACCCCCAGGACTGGATGATGTCAGCAGTCTTTCCCAACCTAATAATTCTATGACGCTGCTCATCCTGGCCTCGCTCACAGCGTCCTCCTGCAGACCATCCACTTTCACACACTGCAGGAGGATGCTGGGGACACGGGCAGCCCTGCTGCTCGCCCTGTGGCAGGTTCACTTTCTGCCTTTTCATCTTGCTCTCGCTCTCAGCAGAGCTGGTGGAGCATCTCCAATGGAACATCCCCATACAAAGCAGAGATGTGGGCTGAGCCCAGAGCAACTCCCTGGGGACAGAACAGCACACAGCAGCAAGGTTAGACCTCCCTCAGGACAGGCCTGGAGGAGTGCACGTGGAGGTGGGGCAGCTGCTTCCAGCTGTGAAGGGATCCAACAACACTTACAGGAGACAGAAACTTGCTTGTTGACAAGGTGGCAGAGTTGACCAGAACCTGCATGAGCAGCAAGCATGGAACAGACACAGGGAGCTGCCTGAATGGCATTCCTCCCCAAAGCAAAGCTCCTCAAGTGTAAGGAATTTCACCTATTGTCCTTTAAGCAGATCCATGCTGCAGGAAACAATTCCAGGTGCTTCCTCTTCCCCATCCCCAGCTGGGCCAGGCAGCCCAAACCTCACTCTCTACCCAAAACCATTTTTGACCTTTCCAAAGCCAGGGCACAAAGTCAGCTTCAGCTTTTGCAGACAGTGCACTGAAGGAGGAAAAAACGTTCTGTTCCATGTACGAGTAGGCAGTAAGTAACCAGCTGCAAGAGGCTGCATCATTAAGGTGCTTAAAGACAAAAGCTTCTGGAAATAACTGATTTGATCTCAAGCCTCCTTAAATCAAATAAAGCCCAGCAGACCAGACAGCTGTGGGCTGAGCAGCACCATGCACTTCCCCATTACTGTCCTCCTCACTGTTCCTCCCAAAAGGAAAGCTATTTCCAGCCCTCCTTCAGAGACTTGTTTCTACTTCAGAGGAAGGAAAACAAACCAGCACAGCAGGCAGCTTCGCACAGCTCCTTCCACAGTCTGCAAATCCAAAGTAAAGGATGGGAGCTGCTGCCTCCAGGGAAGAGAATGTTTTGAAGCAGCACCGGCACGTGGCCAAAGCCTGAGCCTAAGCAGGGGCTGTGAGCTGCAGCATCAGCCTGAGCCTCACTACAGCTGTGCAGGAGAGGAAGCTTCCCAAATACATGGCATGCACAGCTGCAGGATGAGCACCTCACAGAATCAGCCTGCTGAACTCGGAAGGGACCTCAGGGTCTGCCTGGTCCAAGCCCTGCTCCAGCAGGGACGCCCAGAACAGGGTGCACAGGACCACATCCATGCTGCTTTAGAGATCTCAAAGGGGGAACTCCACACCTCTCTGTTCTGCTGTTTCTCAGATGCAGCTGCTGGAAAAGCATGTGCTGCCTGCGCCAGGCTGCAGCAGTGGTGTAGCACTAGCAGTCTGTGCCTAGAAGATCCCAGAGTCCCTGAACTCAGATGGGGGAGGAAGAAACACAGCAGAGTGGTTGATGAGGGAGAAGACAGTACAGGCAGTTCTGCCCCGTCTGGGCACGGGCTGCTGTGGGATCCCCATGCAGGGATGTAACTGCATCACCTGCAGCGAGATGCAGCAGAGCATAGTTTTAAAGGAGTGATCAGGGCAGGAGATAAGGCTTTCCAACCCCTAGGCAGACTTCCACACCTGCAGATCCCTTGCCACCACCCAGACCAGTAGCTCTGTTCCACCCCAGCTTCTTCCTCCCTGGTAGGACGTGGCCTCCAGACAAGGCTGATTCAGAGCAATTCTTTTATTACCAACTCCACTCTCCAGGGATGCGGTGCTCAGAAAAGGATCACAAACAAACACTACACCCACCCAGAGCACAGACATCAACACTTGCCCTATGGGCAGGAGGCAGCAAACGCAGGGGAGGAAGACAGAAGGAGCTCAGATACAAAGGATGGGAAATCACTGCCTCCATCAGCTGGAGGCAGCAGCAAAGTCCAACAACAGAGTCCATGCTGAGCATCCACTGGGACACACGAGTGAATTGAACAGACTGACTGCCACTCATGCCACAGGAACAGCCTCCTTCACAGAAAGAGAAGCCGCATCCCTTCGGGGAGCTGTCACAGGGACCTCCAGCCATGGGACCCCCAGCCTGCAGCGAGCAGCACGAGGGCCAGCAGCAGGATGAGCCACGGCACGGCGCACGCAGCTCTGCCTGTCTCAGGAGTCACGTCCTGCATCCTGGCAGGAGCGGATCGCTTCCTCCAGGCGTAGTACTTGGCCACAACCACGTTGGGGTTCCCCTGCGCGGGGTCAAACCACATCTGGATGCAGCGCCCACTGCCCCGGCGTTCTGTGGTGTATTTGTAGGAGTTGGACCAGATCTTCTCGCACAGATCTTTGGGTCTGGGGAAGACCTGGGAGAAGGGCCTGCACATGGAGCCCCAGGGACAGCGATTCGTTCCTGAGGAAAGCAGCAGAGAAGGAAACAAGAACATGAGCTATTTGAATGCTTCTTTCCAGAGGGAAGAGCAGGCCAGCAGCCTGCCCTCAGGTTGTCACACCTCAACAGTGACATTGGTGGCTTGGCTGCCTCCCCGTCTGCAACCCCCATAGAGAAGTGACAGCAGCCACTGGTTGGGAGCAGAATCACTCCGGGGGCCTTTCCTGCAGGGGGAGGGAAGGCTCTCTCCAGAGCCCACTGACCTGTTGCCCAATTCCAGCCCTTGTGCCAGTTCTCTTTGCACGTGACGTAGTCCTTGCAGTCCTCCCACCATTCCTCGCAGTCCTCTTTGCACAGTGGCACATGCAGAATCCTCTCCCGCCGCCAGCTGCTGTCAGCCTACAAGGGAATTGGACCATGCATGCTGGTGGGAGCCCTGGAAAGCTGGGGCACAGGATCTGCTGCACCCTACAGTCCCCTCCCGGCCCAGACCACTGTTGTCCAAAACCAGAGCCAAAAGATCAGCCCTAGAACAAGGCTGGACAGTAAGGCAGCCATTCCATCCACCTGTTCAAACCCAGTAGAAAAACAGAAGCATCCCCGGGCAGCACACACCTTTACTGCCACAGCACATCATATGGAGGGCCACCATACAGCACGTGACAGCACTGTACGTCCACTCCATCACATGGAGTTTGACCCTACCTGGTCAATCCAGGGCCCCAGGTTGGGTGAGCACTCGTACAAGCACGTGTCCTGGATGAAGTGACGCTTGCACTTGGGTGGCATCACCCCACAGTGGTTCCAGTTGAAGTTGTACAGGTAGGATTGGTCCTTGTGGGCTTCTGAGCTGGTGTTGGCTGTGCAGCAGGCGTTGTCCTTCCAGGGAGCACACTGCAACAGAGCAGAAGGCTGTGCAGAGGGTCTTAAGGGAGCTCAAGGATGCTGCACATGTCAGCATACAATAAAACCTCCAACAAGAGTACTCTTTCTTCTCCAGGTGGCTCTTGGGTATTTTGGACCAAAGAACTCAAGATCACAGCAAAATTGTGTTGGAGGAAAAATAAGAGGAGAACCTTGAGGGTCAGATCCTCAGCAGAAATGGGTGCCAGGCAGAGGAATGGAAAAAATGGCACCTCCTGCATCCTGGCTCACTTAGTCCCATCCACACCAAGGAGCTGGCATCAGAGCCCTTCAATAAGAGAAGGGGTTGTAGCATTGAGAGGGAGTAGAGAAAACATCTTTCCCTTGCTATCCATTATATTCTCATCTTCAGTACCTAAACCTTGGGAAGGAGGCCCCATGGTGAAAGGAAGCGTGACCACGATTCCAATTACCCACACCACCATCTCAGCCCTTGCCTAGGAGCAAGCAAGCAGGCCTTCTTCTCAGCACAAGCCATCTTCAGGCAGGTGGCTGCTAAGCCCCAGTCACCTGTGGGGAAGGACAGACAGCCCCACTCAACCCAACAGCAGCACCATACCTGGCCATGCAGCATCCCCTCCGGGCCAGGCTTGGTTTTGTGGTGCTTGGCATCCATGCAGACGTTCAGCAGAGGGTCCTTGGCAGGCATCACCACAGAGGCAGCCAACAGCACCAGCAGCACCTGCCCTGCTCGCATCTCCACGGCCAGCCCCATGGGGTCGGGGATGTCACAGAGCAGCAGCAGCCAACACACTGCACAAGCTCCTGGAAACAACAGGCAGGATGCCAGCAATGCACATCAGCAAGGACACAGCAGCAGCTCCCCCAGGCAAGGCAGCAAGGTCAGCCACGTGTTGTCTTCTGAGCAGCTCCACCTGGGAGGCACAACATTCTTTTTGTACTCAGGGTGCTTGACTGAAGTGTCCTACGGAGCACCCTGATCAGAAGAGGGATGCTGCGTGGGACCCATTTGGAACTGGGGCCTTTCTGCGTTAAGCCACCACCTGCAGAGCTTTTAGATTCCAAGTATTTAGTTAAAAAATGCTTTTCTAGTTCAAGAATCTTGGTGGCAAGCTGCTTAGAAGTCATAGTTAAATGCACCAGTACACCAAGAACTGCAAGAGACCCTTCTTGTTTCCAGGAGCACATCAAGAAAGAAAAGCTGTTATTTGCTTTATTTGGGTCTTCAAAAACCCACAACTTAGAGTTCAAACTCGAGGAAACAGAAAGAAGCTTCGTGTTACCATACCTCCTCCTCTGCACACCCAGAACTTCAGAGCAGTTGCCTCCTCACACAGCAGAGCTGCTCTGCATCCCTTGCTAGTGCAGGGAAAGGGTCAGGCCAGAGCAACCTGCTCTAGAGGGAGATGTTCCTGCCTATAGCAGGACTTGGAACTGTATGATCCTAGAGGCTGCTTCCAACCCAACCATTCTATGACTCCAGGTTTTACAGAGCACTTCACAGAACACAGAAGGATGGACTGACAGCATTGAAGTGGAACAGAAAGGAGTGATTTCAAAGCTAAGAAAATACATTCAGTCCCAAGGAATGGAGCTAACTTGCATCAAACCTATGTTTGATGCAACACACAATATTGCAAAGAAAAAAAACCAGCAAAAACAAAACACCACCAACATCACAGCCAAATAACCCCTCACTCACCAAACAAACCCAACCAGAAAGCGCCATTACCTGCCTCAAGGCTTTCCAGCCCCCTCCAAAGCACTCAGAGCAGCAGCCTCCTGCAGTCAGCTCTAATAGGAAAGCCTTCTGACACAGGTGCTGGCACTTGCAATTACTTTCTTAATGTGCTTAAGGAGCTCTGGCTTCAGCCAGCATTCATTGCCTTGGAAGTAGTTGTGTGGTGGGAACGGGCTGCCCCAACCTTCTGCAGCAATCTGGTGTGTGGTGGAGGTGTGTGGGGAGGTCTGGGCTCTTATCTGCTATGGCCACTCACACGGAGTCCTTTTCCCTCTGCTTCACACAGAGGCAGTTTAAATTTCTGTATGCTGTTGCATGAGATAAAACAGGGGAAGGAGAGCAGATCCAGGATTCTGCCATGCACCACCAATAAATACAGAAGAGCTCGTCACAGAGCAGGGCATGCAGAACCCCCCTGTGGCAGGGAGGTTGAAATTAAATGATCTTTGAAGTTCTTCCCAACCCAGGCCGTAATTCTATGATAAGTGCTGCTGTCTCAGGGGGAGGAATGATAACTCCCAGCACAAAAATAGAGGCCAGCTGTGGAGGGGAGAGGTGCAGTTATTGCAAAGCTGTGAGATCGGTAATGGAAGGGAAAAGTGGGGGTCTGACCAAGCAGGAGAGCTCCAGACCAGCAGAGCTTCCTACTGGCACAGCACACATTTCCATAGAATCATATTTTGGATTTTGGGGTGGGGAGAAACAGCCAGGGATCACGTCCAACCCCCTCCCAAAACCAGGTCTCCTACAGCGAGGCTGGGGGCTGTTTTGCTTCCATCCCAGCACTGAAATTTGGAGGTGAACCTGCCTGCCTAAGGGCCTTATCTTAAATTGAACTCCTGAAAAGTTGTAGCTCCACAAGACCTTATTCTGGTGATTTCCACAGCCCGGCCACGTGCTGCACAAGCACTGCTGTGTTCCCTGTGTTGCAGCCCGGAAAGCAAACGGGATCCTGGGCTCCATCAGCAGGGGGCGGCCAGCAGGGACAGGGAGGTGATCGTCCCCCTCTGCTCTGCTCTTGAGGCCCCATCTGCAGCACTGCGTCCAGGGCTGGAGCCCCCAGTAAAGAAAGACAGGGAGCTGTTGGAGAGGGTCCAGAGGAGCCACAGAGATGAGCAGAGGGCTGCAGCACCTCCCTACAAAGACAGGCTGAGGGAGCTGGGCTTGTTCAGCATGGAGAAGAGAAGCTGCAGGGTGACCTCAGTGCAGCCTGCAGTGCCTCAAGGGAGCCTGCAGCCAGGAGGGGAGTCAGCTCTGTGAAAGGGGAGATGGCAGCAGGACAAGGGGAAATGGATTGGGGTTGAGGGAGGGCAGCTGGAGGTTGGATGTCAGGGGGAAGTTGTTTAGAGAGAGAGTGGTGAGGTGCTGGAACAGCTGCCCAGAGAGGCTGTGATGCCCCGTCCATCCCTGGAGGTGTTGGAGGCCAGGTTGGATGGGGCCCTGGGCAGCCTGGGCTGCTGTGAGATGGGGAGGTTGGTGGCCCTGCATTGGTGGGGGGTTGGAGCTTCGTGATCCTTGAGCTCCCTTCAACCCTGGCCATTCTTTGGTCCTGAGCCAGACACGCACTCTCCCATTCCTTGTGCTTCCAGCTGTCACAGTGGCGGTGACAAGGAGCAGTCTGCCCCCGCTCAGCTCCTCTGTGCCTTTGCCTCCTGTGCCCCATCTCCTCCCAGCTGTCCCTTTACAAACCCCATTCACCCTGCCTGCTCATCCCTCCTGCCACGTCTTCCTGCTCCCCGTGGCACAGCGCTGCAGCAGCAGCAGCATTTCAGATGCACGGCGCTGCCCTTCCTGTTTTCTGTTCCTCACTGAGGAATTTCTAATATCGGGTTTGTTTTTGGAAGCTGCTGATCACTGAACTGTGTTGCTGTAAAGCTATCAGAGCTGTGACAGCTTGTTCCTGGGAGATAATTGTTAGCCACGAGCCTGTCATTTTCTATCTGAAGTGTTGTGCTTTGTTCCCCAAACGCATCCTTTCATGTTGATCAGAACAGATTTTTTTTGTCTGTTGTTTCATTGTTAGGTGACTCAGCCTTAGGAGGGTCTTTGCAGAGTTTTGCAGCTGGTCCTCCTGTTCCTGCAGTGATTTAATCCCATCACCACACTTGTTCTCCTGGATCAAGAGCAGAAGTCCCAGCACAGACAGCCACAGAAGGGTATTGCTGTAGAGGACAGCCGCGCGCCTTTGCTTCATGGTTCAGCTGTTCACCAGCGTGCAGGGCATCATCCTCACCCCATGGCATTGGAACCCAGGCAGAGGGAATCCCTGGTCTGTCTGGTCCTCTTCTTTGAAGACCTGGGGTATACTGGAGAGGCTCATCTGTGGGTCAGGAGAGCCGTTCCCTCCTTGCTCCCACATTTATCTATTCAGATGCTGTAGTTGTGATTTCTGTCCCGTTTTCTGCTGCTTTTTTCCCCACAGATGCCACATCTGCGCGGTTCCCCGCATCTCCTCAGAAAGACCTTTGATGTGTCCCCACAAACGTGTGCTCCCTGCCCCCGCAAGGGTACCTGCACACATGGCAGTGCAGAAAATGGGGCCATTCCCACTCAGCCTGGTCCCGTATCCATTCAGTCCATGGGGACCAGCTGCCTTCGCTCCATCCTCGGTGGGTCTTTGCCTGGTGCCATCCGTCACAGGGTGCTTCTCCCCTGGGGTCGGATCTGGGGGAGCAGCTGTGGGGCGAGTGCTTTGGGCACAGCGTGTCCCTGCCAGGACCTCCACACACCTCCAGCACACCGGAGCTCGCTGGGACGGCGCAGCCCATCGGAGGTGTGTGATGGGGTCCCACGTGGCTGCTGCTGCTGCTGCCAGGGCTGTGGGCGCTGTTATGAGAGAAGTGGAACCACACAGCGTATCCAGCAAAGGATTCAGTTTGCATAATTGAAATCCAAGCAGCCTGGTGCAAGCACCGCCGTTAGCCCCGATCTGCTGCTGCGGTTTGAAGAAAAAAGGAGAGGGAGGAAAAATAAGGAAAGAAATGCTTTGCATCAGAGTTCTGCGTACAGATATTAAGTCGAAGAACAACCACCTAATTATGGATGTAAGAGCTCAAGAAGCACGAACTCTTAATTGTGTCCGAGCTCAACTGTGGGTGCAATTAATCTATGGCAGTAACGATTACAAGAGACGGCGAGGAAGGCACTTACCTCTGAAATTTGAGAAGTGATTTGGGATCATCCAGTTGAATTGGAGGACAAATCCCAGTCTCGGTGATACTTGGTTAATCCTGCTGGCAGCCCCATCCCCAGTGAAGCTCTCACATCCTGGTACCACCAAATGCTTCGGCGAGCACCGTGCGCTCAGTCACTGCCCCAGCACTCAATCACAGCGGGACGATGCTCGTAAAGCACTGCAAGGGGGCCCAATGAGCCAGAAGCAAATGGCAAGCTGTTGATGTGAACGTGTGCGTTGCCGGGGAACAACGAGGGTTTATTTGTGGGAGGAAGGCCACCAAAGCCCAAGATATTTGTCTTGGTGCTAAACAGAGTGTTTGTCATTTTGAAAGGCGTTCTGATGAAGCTGTGCTTGTGTACACTGGGAAAGGTCGTGTTTATATGGCAGCCTTCCGTGGTTTTACATTGGAGGATGATATTGCTGTAGGTACAAGTAGTCACTCAAATATTTGTGTTTTTTTTTTTTAACATTATTGTAATTATGGGATGTGATTTTGATTAATCACCTCCTGTTACATTACATCTTATCAGTGGTTTATAATTGGGTTATATGCAGAGTGCAGATTTGTTGCCTCCTATTGCATCCTTCATCCAGCTGTGATTTTACTACCTCAGCTATTCGTTTGTCTACTTATTATCATATTGCATACGTAGGTTTGGTGCAACTTCAGCCTCCCAAAGTGGAGAGTAATACATAGCAAGGAGCAGCACTTCACAGTCTGCTTACTGAGGATCCCTAAGTGCACGGATGGTCAATGCACCACTTATGGCACAGAGGTGAGAGGGGACCACACTGCTGCTCCCAGGGTCAGGACCACTGTCTGTGGTCATGGGATGGAGTGTGTTGGTGCTGCCCTGCCCCACAGCCCGGCCCTCCTCTCTACCCCTCTCGGGTGACAGCCATCAGGATGGATGGGTCTGGTTGTGACAGCAGAACCAGGTTAAGGTGGATGCAGGGGTGACGGGCAACATTGCCTACCCGACAGGGCTGGATGCAAAATGAGCAATAGTCAATCATCTTACTCCATAAATAGGAGACAAATAGGATCTTCTGCTTGAGCAGGGACTCCTCTCAAGGTCACTCCTTGAGGTTGAGAGGTTCCTTACCTTTGGCAGATGCTCGGCAAGGGATTTATAGCCAGTGTCTTGCTTGTAAGCAGAGAGGGACTCACGGGTGAGGTGGCAGCTGGTGGCTGTCCCAGCCATATTGACCATGAAATAGTTGAGTTTAAAACAGTGACAGGGAGAAACCTGTCACCACAGTTTCAGCTCTCCCCTGAATAAAGGGGAGAGTGTTCACTGGAACAGGTTGCCCAAGGAGGCTGTGGATGCCCCATCCCTGCAGGCATTCAAGGCCAGGCTGGATGTGGCTCTGGGCAGCCTGGGCTGCTGCTTGACGACCTGCACACAGCAGGGCTTGGAGCTGGATGAGCGCTGTGCTCCTTTGCAACCCAGGCCGTTCTATGATTCTATGATTCTGTGATTCTATCATTCTATGAGCCTATAAGAGCAGACTTCAGGCTGCTTGGGGAACTAGCTGGCAAGGTCCTCTAAGAAACTGCTTTTGAAGGCACTGGGGTCCATTAGTGCTGGTTGCTTTTTAAGTAACATCCCTGAAAAGCACATAAGAGGGAACTGCAAAATGTTGGCAGGGTGGAAGATGGGCTTTGCTGAGCATGGTTCTTCTTCAGCTTATGTGGAAAAATAAAGTGTGGCCACTGGAAGTGAAGCTGGGCAACTTGGGAGGGCTGCAGAGCATCGGGTACTGCATGGTGCGACCTCACCTTGACATGGGGTGCAGTCTGGGCAAAGCACTGAGTGAGCATTAGGTTCATGCAGCAGAGGAAGGACTTCTTGTTGCTGATTCCTGTCCTCCTAGCATTCAGCACGAGCTTTTCTCCTAAATCCCTCTGAGCTGTAACCGAGGGGCTGCTCAGTGGGCAGTGAAGCAGAGGGTTTGACCTACAGACACTGGCCCCTTCTGCAGCCTCTTGCTGTGCTCTGCAGCCTTTCAGGGGACAGAGCTCAGACTTCAGATGGATGAAGGACCGTGGGCCGGAGCCTTCCACAGCTCACCTTGTCCTACACCAACACACACTCAGTTTTCAGAAATTCCTTTCGCCTGCAGGCACCACTGGGCAGCAATCAGCCCTGTTCCTGGCCACCATGGAAATGCAGCCCGCTTTAAGTCAGATTTACCTTCTCAGCAGTGACTCGGAGCAGAGTGTCCAGTATGGGTGATTCAGCCTCATGTTGCTGTGCCTGGCTGTGATTTATTGCCATTTAAAAGAACCTTAAATAAAAAGGTGCACTTGATTGTGCACCTACCAAGTATTTAGAAAATTCCCCATGGGGAAAGAGAAGAAAATGCACACAGCTGTCCCTGCAGCTCAGGGCAGCATCCACAGCCTGGCAGCACTGCAAATCCATCACTTGTCTATGGGACAAAGGCAAACTGTCCTCTGTTTTCACAGAATCTCAGAATGGCCTGGGTTGGAAGGAACCTCAAGGATCACGAAGCTCCAAGCCCCACGCTGCATGCAGGGCCACCAACCTCCACATTTAATAGCAGAGCAATACTACTGTTCCTATAACTAATAATGCTGGTGGTAGTTGTGACCCCACGTGTTGGTATTTATCACAGTAACGGGTGATTGGAGATGCTGTGGGCTGTGTGCTGCTGGCTCTTGCCATGGTGGGATGCTCCTGCACCCTCAAGCTCTCCTTTGAGCAGCAGTTCATAAAGCAGCACAGCGAGACAGCCAGAGTGCAGAATGGAAATCTGTGCAGGTTTGCAGACTGATGGTGTCGGGTCGATTCTAGTTTGTGTCTTT